AATTTTTTCTCCCCATACAACAACACTTTATAGTGAAGTCTGTAAAAAAAAAATGGACAAGAAACCATGAGAAAAGCACCAAAAAAGTTGTCCATATGACTCGTGCAAGTTTTCTGAAATCATACAGTTGTGGTGTTTTTGGTCCTTTTTTGGAGATTTATAAAAAAAAGAACTGCACTGAAAAGAACTGTGATAAAAAATAATGTGACTTTTAATTTTAGGGGGAATTATTTCCTTTGTGTTCTGATTTTTGCTGGATTCCCTGGTGTTTGACATTAGCTGTTATTCAGAAAGATAGATTACTAATGCCGTCATGGTTGATTGATGTTTATCTGCACACAGCTCCCTGCGGCTACAACGTGACGGCTCCAAACGGAACCATTTTCTCTCCAGAGTACCCAAATGAGTACCCAGACTCTCAGGACTGCACTTGGCTCATCACCGTGCCCCATGGTCACGGGGTTTACATCAACTTCACCCTGCTCCAGACTGAGCCTGTGACTGACTATATCGCTGTCTGGTGAGCACAGCTCCATTTAACGAGTCATTTAGCAAATATCAGACTGAGATGAGGACAATACATTTATTTCAGCTTTAAAACTAGACTAATGCTGCTATTGTTGTCATACATCAAGCAAATCATTACGCAAATCGAGCTTTGTTTACTGACATTTGTAATCCGTAGTCAATGTGCAAAGCAAGATTTCAAGAAAAGCTCAGTTGTCTTTGAAGTCGTGTAGCTTTTCACTCAAAGCGTGATTCTCATGAAAAATAAAATAAAATGGAATATATAATAAAGCATAATTTACAATTAATTACAATAACAGTTAAAAATCTGCCATTAACAATTAATACCCTGCCATTAATATGGGGATATTGATATGTTTTACTGATAACACTTTTGGTTTAGAGACCAATTTTCACTATTAACTAGTTGCTTATTAGCATGCATACTACTAGCATATTGGCTGTTTATTAGTACGTATAAAGCACATATTACTGCCTTATTCTGCATGACCATATTTTAGATCCCATAATCCTACTCCATACCTAAACTTAACAACTACCTTACTAACTATTAATAAACAGCAAATTAGAATTGTATTGAGGCAAAAATGATCGTTAATAGTGAGAACTGGTCCCCAATGTGACCATTTTACTTTCTGAGTAATTACTATTCTCATTAATGTATCATCACTTATTCATTAATATAATATTGTGTTTTTCTTAATGTCTTTTTTTCAGTGAAGCATAAACATCTTATTGTATGTTTAACAAAATACATTTGCATGGGTTTGAAATGGCATGAATTCAATTATTTTAGTTCTTTTAAGTGGGCCCAACTAGTAAATATCATACTTCAACTTCCAGACATGACTTTACAGATATTCATATATTCTGTTGTTGTTGTTTTTTCTTGTAGCATATGAATTACAAAACTGTCAAGACCCATATCCATTCCACAACGGGTATATCATCAACAGCGATTTCAACGCAGGCCAATCCATAACATTTGAATGCTTCCCGGGATACGTGTTAGTCGGCTACCCTGTGCTAACATGCCAGCACGGAATCAACAGGAAGTGGAACCACCCCTTTCCTCGCTGTGAAGGTAAATGGAAGGGAAGAAAGTAATGTCCCTGTTAACATTTCTTTAAGTTTCTCAAGTTGTGTTGTGATTAGCACACAGTTATTTGCAGCCCTCTTTGCCCACACTTTGAAACCAAAAAACATGAATAATTCTGACTTTTTGAGACTTACAAAAGGTATTATATTCTCCCAAATGTCTTTTTAACTATGCTCTTTAAGTGAAGTGTTACTACTTTGCATTACTAGTACAATAAGAGCCATTGTGTTTTAAACCCATCTTTAAAACAGACTTTGAAGACCTGAACAGTGGAGACATATGCTACTGGGAGCTGTTCTAAATTGTAGCCGTGATGATTAGCGTGGGTAGTGTAGTGTGAAATCCGACCTGTCTCTTATCAATCGGTCGCTCAACATGTTCCTCCTAGGCTTCCGTTTGCGGGGAATCTGCACTGCAAAGACTATTGGGCCATTTTTCTTTCTTTTTTATCATAACTGTGTTATTCTGTTGTGCCAGTATCTTCTATATAGCAGCCTCAGGAATGTTATGTTCTCTTCTTCAGTTTGCAAATGAAACCGTTCTGTCTACTATAGTAGTCTTTGAAAGAGAAGATGTGTATATTTTGCCAGTGTTTACGCACTCTTGTGTTATTTTTTCCCCCGTATGACATTCTCCATACAACAACATTTCATAGTGACATCTGTAAAACTCAAAAGAAAAGTGCTATAAAAGTAGTCCATATGAGAATTATGAAAAATAGCTGCATGAAAATTCTTAAATTCATCAAAAACAATATATAGATATATACATAAATATACATGAGAGTGGGTAAATAATGTCAAATAATGCCGTTACTATTCTGATTTTGCTGGATTCCCTGGTGTTTAACATTAGCCGTTATTCAGAAAGACAGATTACTAATGCCATCGTGGTTGAATGATGTTTATCTGCACACAGCTCCCTGCGGCTACAACGTGACGGCTCCAAACGGAACCATTTTCTCTCCAGAGTACCCAAATGAGTACCCAGACTCTCAGGACTGCACTTGGCTCATCACCGTGCCCCATGGTCACGGGGTTTACATCAACTTCACCCTGCTCCAGACTGAGCCTGTGACTGACTATATCGCTGTCTGGTGAGCACAGCTCCATTTAACGAGTCATTTAGCAAATATCAGACTGAGATGAGGACAATACATTTATTTCAGCTTTAAAACTAGACTAATGCTGCTATTGTTGTCATACATCAAGCAAATCATTACGCAAATCGAGCTTTGTTTACTGACATTTGTAATCCGTAGTCAATGTGCAAAGCAAGATTTCAAGAAAAGCTCAGTTGTCTTTGAAGTCGTGTAGCTTTTCACTCAAAGCGTGATTCTCATGAAAAATAAAATAAAATGGAATATATAATAAAGCATAATTTACAATTAATTACAATAACAGTTAAAAATCTGCCATTAACAATTAATACCCTGCCATTAATATGGGGATATTGATATGTTTTACTGATAACACTTTTGGTTTAGAGACCAATTTTCACTATTAACTAGTTGCTTATTAGCATGCATACTACTAGCATATTGGCTGTTTATTAGTACGTATAAAGCACATATTACTGCCTTATTCTGCATGACCATATTTTAGATCCCATAATCCTACTCCATACCTAAACTTAACAACTACCTTACTAACTATTAATAAACAGCAAATTAGAATTGTATTGAGGCAAAAATGATCGTTAATAGTGAGAACTGGTCCCCAATGTGACCATTTTACTTTCTGAGTAATTACTATTCTCATTAATGTAATGCATTTTAATAGAGCATTTAAAAAATATACTAAACCAATTTTCCAAATACAACAACAAAATATGATATATATATACATATTTGCCTTACTTTCTTGCATTTCTTACTATTCTCATTCCATTAACTACAACTTTTACCTCAGTAAACTCCTAATTTGTTGCTTATTAATAGTTAGTAAGGTAGTTGTTAAATTTAGGTATTGGTTAGGGTTAGGGATGTAGAATATGGTCATGCAGAATATGTGCTTTATAAGTACTAATAAACAGCCAATATGTTAATAATCGGCATGGAAATAAGAAACAAGTTAATAGTGAGAATTGGTCCCTAAACTAAAGTGTTACAGAATTTCTTCATTTGAAACACTTTTAATTTATTTTACTAACGTTACTGAAGTTACAGAAATAACTGAATGGAAAGCTTGTTTTTAAATCGCAGGTATTTTGTAATAATCACAGAGCCCAATGTCATAATTCCCATTGAATAATCTGAAACAGTACTGAGTTGATTAAATAAGTCGGAAATATACATCTCCGGCGCTTTCCCAGTAATATTGGCCATTAATCTTCAAAAGCCATTAAACAAGCGGACTAGTCTGTTAAGTCATCATTTTTGCTGTTTTCGTTGAAGCTGGTCTGTGGTCATGCAGAATATGTGAAAAGTCAGCACAATCTCATTGTACATTTGGAAGTAAATAAATTTTCTCCAACCACTCAGAATTTGGAGGCATTATTATGGCGTTTAATGGCAAGATCACAGGTTGTAATGTCATTTCAATGCGTGTTTCCTCTTCCAGGGACGGCCCAGAGCAAAGCTACCCACAGCTGGGAATTTTCAGCGGCAACACAGCCCTCGAGTCAGCCTACAGCACTTTCAATCAGGTTCTTATCAAGTTCCACAGCGACTTCTCGACAAGTGGATTCTTTGTCCTCAATTTCCATGGTTAGTTTGTCCTTCAAATGAAAAATGTTGCAGCTGAATGCATACCGTAAAGTGCCGCTCGAAATATATTCGAAACATGGGATTTGACTTGTTTTTATTCTCTAAGGAGGCATGACTGCTGCCTCTGATGACATCACGTTATTTCTGGAGATTAAAAGAGTCAAAAATAGAAGCTTCCTTTGGCCTCTTTGATATCAGTGTCAGCATGCAGGCATGTGTTGAACAGCATAGGAAAATCGGAGTGTGAAAGTGAACCGGTCTTTCATCTATACCTCCAACTTTCATTTCAGTCTGGCATATTTGTGAGATATAGACGGCTTGTTTCAATGCAGCTTTTATTCTTGAGAGGGCTCCCTGTATGTCGATTTATAGAATTGTATGTTGTCACATGTTGTATGTGTAATTAATACACTGGGTGGGTTACCGTTTGAGATGTGGCATGCCTATAAAGGAGAAAGAAAAGGCAAATTGCTTCAAAACTTTTCTATTTCCTTAGCTTATGGGCTCAAGAAATGCCCTCCTCCCCCTACGGTTGAACAAGCAGAGGTATTATTTGAAGACCAGGACTACGAAATCGGTACGAACAACAGTCCATTTGTGCAAGAATATCAAATACGTGATTAAAAATTTTTTTGAAAATGTTTTATTTCTTCTTACCGTCTTACTGTACCATGCAGGTGACATTGTGAGGTATAGATGCTTTCCTGGATTTACATTGGTTGGTAGCGATGAGCTCACCTGTAAGCTGAATTTTCACCTGCAGTTTGAGGGTCCACCACCGGTGTGTGAAGGTCAGTGAATAACAAAACCTGTTGAAGTCTGTGATGTATACATTTCAATTATATATACATTTCATTATATATATATTTTTCCACTAATTACTGTTAAAATATTCTCATTTTGATTGTCGAATTGAAAAAAATAATAGTAAATGATTCAAATTTTAAAGTGTTTATATGCAATGTTGGTGTATTATCTTTAACATATGCTGTGTACTGAATTATGATTTGATATCACATGCGTATATAATGATATATAGTGACCTTGCATTGTTTATTTTGGTGCTGACAGAAAACAAGATGCAAGCTAAGCATCCTGATGATGGCAAAGTGACTCTGATGCAGCATAAATCCTGAAACTTAAACTTTCCTAAACTTTACAAACATTCTATAGTGAAGTCTATATTATACTTCAACTCACTTTGTTGCTTCTTCAAACCAAGGCTCGCGGCCCCTGAGGTAAATCCAGGAGAAGCGGTGCGCATGTTGGAGAAAGTTCTTAAACTTTACAGTTTTTACCGAAATACTCTGGAGCTTGCATCTTTTGCTTTGTTAGTAGCATAACCACATTGTGATTTGTAATAATAGCCATGATTCCTGTGAAATGCTGTGTCTATGCTACAGCTCAGTGTCCCGCAAATGAGGAACAGTCTGCCTCCTCTGGTGTGATCCTGAGTCCAGGCTTCCCAAAAAACTACCCCAACTCCCAGACCTGCTCTTGGATCATCAGAGTGCAGCCTGCCTTCACCATCGCCATTTATGTGGAAATGTTTCAGAGCGAGAAGCAGTTTGACGAACTGGAGATCTTTGATGGTAGATTCTATTCTATTCTATTCTATTCTATTCTACTAGCAACAATACTTCATAACACAAATATATGTTTGGAAAAATCATTTGTGAGCCATTTTGACCAGTTTTAAAAAGTAAATGCTTACTATTAAAACGAAAGGTCAAACCTGAGACAAAAAAGCCTTATATTTAGGAGGCATGCTTAAAGGTATATAGTTCACCCAAAAATAAAAATGTACTGTCAATTTACCCTATGTTAATGGCCCCTCAGGCCATCCAAGATGTAGGTAACTTTTTTTTCCTTTTTTTTTTCTGAAGTAGGGCAATAAAGAACATTTTTAACTGAAACTGTGGTCCTTGGTGTTTCACAAAAAGTCAACACCTACCATCACTTTGAGAATCAAAAAATCATATACAGGCAACACAAAATTAATAACTGTGGCTCCTGATGATATATTGAGGTCTTATGAAGAGAAACGATCGGTCTGTGCAAGAAACTGAACATTCTTTACATCATTATTACCTCAGTTCAGTAAAAGTTCGGATTCGGACCGAAGAACTGATTAGCTGTTGATACTTGCATACTGAGCACTTGAATGAATGGGGCGAAATTAAAGTTTTTATGGTTTCACATTGAATTTTCATTTGTTTGTGAACTATCCCTTGATAAACTTCATAAGATCATACAACTTTCACATTTTATTATATGTGTTTTAGAGAATTTCTGAAGATCCTCAAGGAACCAGCCAAGTAACAGGAAAAACAGTGTAGTGTAAACAGTTGTGATGACTAGGTTGAATTTGGATATGCTGATTTGATCAAAGGTGGCACTTGGCTTGAAAAGCTTGAGAACCACTGCTCTATGACATATACTTCTTCCTAAAGTTACGTCTGTCTTGTTGCTGCCCAACAGATTTGTGGTTTGCAATATTTAGCTTTTCTTGTTGTTTTTGTGATGTTTTATTTACCAGGGCCATCTGGACAGAGTCCATTGCTGGTGGCTTTGAGTGGGAACCACTCCACACAATTGAATTTCACTAGCAAAACAAACCAGCTTTACCTCAGATGGTCAACTGATCATGCGACCAGCAAGAAAGGCTTCAAAATACGCTACACAGGTTTGTTAAACATATTTCACCATTTCATGTTTTTCATGGATGCATTAGGGATGTAGAATATGGTCATGCAGAATATGTGCTTTATAAGTACTAATAAACAGCCAATATGTTAATAATCGGCATGGAAATAAGAAACAAGTTAATAGTGAGAATTGGTCCCTAAACTAAAGTGTTACAGAATTTCTTCATTTGAAACACTTTTAATTTATTTTACTAACGTTACTGAAGTTACAGAAATAACTGAATGGAAAGCTTGTTTTTAAATCGCAGGTATTTTGTAATAATCACAGAGCCCAATGTCATAATTCCCATTGAATAATCTGAAACAGTACTGAGTTGATTAAATAAGTCGGAAATATACATCTCCGGCGCTTTCCCAGTAATATTGGCCATTAATCTTCAAAAGCCATTAAACAAGCGGACTAGTCTGTTAAGTCATCATTTTTGCTGTTTTCGTTGAAGCTGGTCTGTAATGTAATGCTTTTATTCAAAAGTCAGCACAATCTCAATTTTCTCCAACCACTCAGAATTTGGAGGCATTATTATGGCGTTTAATGGCAAGATCACAGGTTGTAATGTCATTTCAATGCGTGTTTCCTCTTCCAGGGACGGCCCAGAGCAAAGCTACCCACAGCTGGGAATTTTCAGCGGCAACACAGCCCTCGAGTCAGCCTACAGCACTTTCAATCAGGTTCTTATCAAGTTCCACAGCGACTTCTCGACAAGTGGATTCTTTGTCCTCAATTTCCATGGTTAGTTTGTCCTTCAAATGAAAAATGTTGCAGCTGAATGCATACCGTAAAGTGCCGCTCGAAATATATTCGAAACATGGGATTTGACTTGTTTTTATTCTCTAAGGAGGCATGACTGCTGCCTCTGATGACTTATCAAGTTCCACAGCGACTTCTCGACAAGTGGATTCTTTGTCCTCAATTTCCATGGTTAGTTTGTCCTTCAAATGAAAAATGTTGCAGCTGAATGCATACCGTAAAGTGCCGCTCGAAATATATTCGAAGCATGGGATTTGACTTGTTTTTATTCTCATGACTGCTGCCTCTGATGACATCACGTTATTTCTGGAGATTAAAAGAGTCAAAAATAGAAGCTTCCTTTGGCCTCTTTGATATCAGTGTCAGCATGCAGGCATGTGTTGAACAGCATAGGAAAATCGGAGTGTGAAAGTGAACCGGTCTTTCATCTATACCTCCAACTTTCATTTCAGTCTGGCATATTTGTGAGATATAGACGGCTTGTTTCAATGCAGCTTTTATTCTTGAGAGGGCTCCCTGTATGTCGATTTATAGAATTGTATGTTGTCACATGTTGTATGTGTAATTAATACACTGGGTGGGTTACCGTTTGAGATGTGGCATGCCTATAAAGGAGAAAGAAAAGGCAAATTGCTTCAAAACTTTTCTATTTCCTTAGCTTATGGGCTCAAGAAATGCCCTCCTCCCCCTACGGTTGAACAAGCAGAGGTATTATTTGAAGACCAGGACTACGAAATCGGTACGAACAACAGTCCATTTGTGCAAGAATATCAAATACGTGATTAAAAATTTTTTTGAAAATGTTTTATTTCTTCTTACCGTCTTACTGTACCATGCAGGTGACATTGTGAGGTATAGATGCTTTCCTGGATTTACATTGGTTGGTAGCGATGAGCTCACCTGTAAGCTGAATTTTCACCTGCAGTTTGAGGGTCCACCACCGGTGTGTGAAGGTCAGTGAATAACAAAACCTGTTGAAGTCTGTGATGTATACATTTCAATTATATATACATTTCATTATATATATATTTTTCCACTAATTACTGTTAAAATATTCTCATTTTGATTGTCGAATTGAAAAAAATAATAGTAAATGATTCAAATTTTAAAGTGTTTATATGCAATGTTGGTGTATTATCTTTAACATATGCTGTGTACTGAATTATGATTTGATATCACATGCGTATATAATGATATATAGTGACCTTGCATTGTTTATTTTGGTGCTGACAGAAAACAAGATGCAAGCTAAGCATCCTGATGATGGCAAAGTGACTCTGATGCAGCATAAATCCTGAAACTTAAACTTTCCTAAACTTTACAAACATTCTATAGTGAAGTCTATATTATACTTCAACTCACTTTGTTGCTTCTTCAAACCAAGGCTCGCGGCCCCTGAGGTAAATCCAGGAGAAGCGGTGCGCATGTTGGAGAAAGTTCTTAAACTTTACAGTTTTTACCGAAATACTCTGGAGCTTGCATCTTTTGCTTTGTTAGTAGCATAACCACATTGTGATTTGTAATAATAGCCATGATTCCTGTGAAATGCTGTGTCTACGCTACAGCTCAGTGTCCCGCAAATGAGGAACAGTCTGCCTCCTCTGGTGTGATCCTGAGTCCAGGCTTCCCAAAAAACTACCCCAACTCCCAGACCTGCTCTTGGATCATCAGAGTGCAGCCTGCCTTCACCATCGCCATTTATGTGGAAATGTTTCAGAGCGAGAAGCAGTTTGACGAACTGGAGATCTTTGATGGTAGATTCTATTCTATTCTATTCTATTCTTTAGTGTTCTAACACTTTAGAACACAAAAAAATATGTTTGGACAAATCATTTGTACATAAATAATACACACTATTAAAACAAAAGGTATAGCCAAAAACTGATACAATTAAAAAATAATAATGCTAAAAATAAAATCGTTGAGCTTTATATTTAGGAGGCATGCTTATTCACCCAAAAATGAAATTTTGCTGTTAATGTACTCACCCTCAGGCCATCCAAGGTAACTGTATGTAGGTAACTGTTTTTTTTCTTCTTCAGTAGGGCAGTAAAGAAGATTTTTAGCTGAAACGGTGGTCCTTGGTGATTCACAAAATGTTAGTGGCTACCATCACTTTAAGAGTAAAACAAAAACATATGCAGGCAACACAAAATTGATTCCCGTGGCTCCTGACAATATGCCGAGGTCTTTCGAAGCGAAATGATTGGTCTGTGCAAGAAACGGAACATTATTTACAATAGTATTGCTCGGTTCAGTATAAGTTCAGATTTGAACCAAATAACTTGCTGATCCGAGCATGTGTAAACTGAGCACTTGAATGAAGGGGTAAAATGAAAGGTTCGTGGTATGAATCTTTAATAAATGGTTTATGTGAAAAAGTGAGTTGATTAAGGCTAGTTTATTTATCTTATTATTATAAATCTTCTTTACTGTTCTACTGAATAAAATAAATCACCTGCATCTTGGATGGCCTGAAGGCGAGTAAATGAAGAGTGAATTTTCATTTTTGGGTGAACTATCCCTTTAATGGGTGTTACGCAGGAACACTGAATTTAGCACTCAGTTTTGAACATAAATTCCATAATGCAGAGCAATCCAGTTACTCAAAAACTCAAAAACAGACAAGATAAGTTTTAAGATACAGTAAATTGCTCAGGTTTCAGAAATATATTTATGATTAGGTGTTAGTGGGTATGAAATGAATAATACAACTTTTCAATTTTATTATATGTGTTTTAGAGCATTTCTAAAGATCCTCAAGGACCCAGCCAAGTGACAGGAAAAGCAGTGTAGTGTAAACAGTAGTGATGGCTAGGTTGTGCTGATTTGATCAAAGGTGGCACTTGGCTTGAGAAGACTGAGAACCACTGCTCTACGACATTTGTTCTTTCAGTCACGTCTGCCATGTTGCTGCCCAACAGGTTTGTGGTTTGCAATATTTAGCTTTACTTGTTGTTTTTTGTGACGTTTCATTTACCAGGGCCATCTGGACAGAGTCCGTTGCTGGTGGCTCTGAGTGGGAACCACTCCACTCAATTGAATTTCACTAGCAAAACAAACCAGCTTTACCTCAGATGGTCAACTGATCATGCGACTAGCAAGAAAGGCTTCAAAATACGTTACACAGGTTTGTAACAGATGTATAACTTTTCATGTTTTGCATGCATCCAGAAGTACTGCAGGGTTATTCTTAGAAACTTGGAAAAACAAATTACGTATTGAACACAAAACCAGCAACACTTGTAGAAGGAAGAAATCCACCAAGAAAAAAAATTAAAATTCTCTAGCTCCATTTTTTTCATTCCACATTTGATGCATCCAGGCATTTTAAACAGGCATTTACAATTCTCTCTAATTCATCTATTGGTATATTCAATAGCATGCAATATGTGTGTCAGATTAATTCCCACCATTTAGCCCCCCAAGGTTGTTGCTTTGGATCCAAATGGGTCAATAAGTGAAAAAGTCAGCTTTTTCTAATTTAGCCCTCATTAGGCTAGAACCAGACATGTCCTACCTTCAGTGAGCCATTGGCAAGTCTGCTGTAATAGAGGTCAAAGATGCAGTAATGAATTTTGCTGAATAACTACCATGTCGTTTGCTTCTGACCGACATTTCCACCAATGGCTAAACATGATATATGGACCACAAAGCCAGTGGCCATGATTACTCAGCATCTCTTCACCCGTTCCCATTTCTCTGCCTCTCTGTCAACATTTATTGCTCTCTGTGTTCATTTCAGTTGATCTTTCTGACATGCCATGCCCTATGCAGGCCCATTATTCCAGTGTGTTGCCACCTGTTTCCTGTTTATTGGATTTTGTCAAGAGCAGACCGAACGAGAAACCATTATGTTGCTCAGAGGGACTATGTTTTTGAACATAGTGGTTACTACTTTTTTTTCTTGAATTTCAATGATTACAGGATGTAGGCAATGCTTTATGATAAATATGACACATTTATCTCTACAAAACATCTTTGAGAAGCAACTTCAAGCCCCTCCTTGTTTTTCCCGCCTTTCTTAGTCTGTTGGGCTTTAAGGGTAAAGAAAATTTTATTTACATTAAAAAAATGTTTTATGCTAGGTCTAGTTAATGACTCACAGCTAAGTCTAAACCTCTCAGCAGAGTTGGTGTGATGATGCATTTGATTCGATCTGTCTGAAGTGAGATTAAGCTTTGACATCCCTCGAGCTTCTGCTTTCCGTTTTATGATGGGTAAACTTGTATTTGTGTCACATCAAAAACAAGATCTAACGATCTGATCATAACCATCAAGCTGCATTTTCTCTTTTTCGTTTTATCTCAGAATCAAGCTTAAACGCAGTTGTAAATACCTCATGAATTCCAAGTTTGAGTTGGATGGCTTTTTTAGTCCACATCTGTTAGTTTTGAGTTCATCTAAATGGCCGTGTACCACCATAAAAGTTGACTAAATTAACTTAGATAAACATATTTAAAATATACAGTCTTTTTTTTTGTGAGGAAATAGATACAAAATATGAATTGCTCTTGGATATTTATTTTTGTCCAGTAAAAAGCTGTCTAGAGAAGAGGAAAACTGCTTTTGCTTCAGGACTCAGATTTTACATTGGTCAACAAAATACTAAAATAGTTAATTATATAAATGTAAACAGAAATTGCCTTTTTTTTTGTAATTACATTTATTATCCCAATAATTTAGGACACTAAGCACAAACCATGTCTGTCCTTATTCCAGCTGAAGCCATATTTAGCATATGCAGGGTTGCAAAAATGCCTTATGTAGGTTGGGTAATGGTTTTTGAAGGTTATGGCATGTCAGCAGTCTTTAATCACCATCTTTGTCTTGTTTTCAAGTAACATATCTAAAAATAAATATATTTAGCCTACTTTCAAAGGAAATTATAACATAAGTATATGTATGCTTAAAACGTGAAGTGTTTATGACAAGGAATCAGCACTGCTTTTATCTGTGAAGTTTTATCTTAAAATCATACTATGACAAACTATGCTTGTTTCCATCTCCCGCAGCCACGTACTGCAGTGTGAACGATCAACCCAAGAATGGAGGAGTCATTAATAGGGCGAGAGATCGGCCAGGCAGTAGGCTCCAGTATTACTGCAACGCTGGCTACAGGCTCGTGGGTCACAGAAATGCCACATGCAGACTCCATCTCAATGGACTTTACCAGTGGGACAATCCGGCCCCACTGTGTCAAGGTAACTCATACTCCGCAGAGATTTTCACTGGCTCATTCTCCTCATTCAAATGACAGGGAATTGCCTTGAAAAGGCGACCTGCCTCCCCGCATATGAAACAATGTGTCATTCTACGGGGTACTCAAAAGCACCTCCACACGCCTCGACAAGAAACCGCTTTTATTCCATTAAACACTTCCGTCGAGGACTGTGCAATGAGATCATGAGTGTCCTTTGTTCCAATGTCATAATGGGTGACTCTTCAGTCACGCTAGGACTAAGACAGAAATGTAATTGAATGTGTTTGATGTGTCGCGGTTTCTCTTAATTTCATTGTCCATGCTTCCTACTCTGCTCCTTTCTCTTTTATTGAGGTGCTAATTTTATCCTTCAGCCTACGTGGTGTTTTGTCCGCCCTTTCGCCTTTCGCACTCCGAGCCCTCGTGTCTTCTGTTCCAGAGCATTGTCAAAGAAAATGGTCTCTTCTGGAGGTTTGCTGTGCATTCATTAGCGAGACGAGTCATCCGTCAGACGTGCACTTGCATAAAAATAGTGAGCGAATGAACAGTATGTAGGCCTAATTGTTCCAGTTGTTATTTGTGCAAGTTTAAGGCAGGTTAAGAGATGAGGCTGAGATGATTATATAACGATTAAGTATATTGCACTTTCCATGAATAATGTAGGAATAATAGAGTCTAAAACTTTTAAAAGAATAAAGTCATTGATGTGTTTTTTTTTTTTTCTTCTAACAAATGGTCCGTCAAAGAAGATGTGCTTAACCTTGAGAAAATGTTGACCATTAACTTCAGGAAGTTAAACTAAATATGAGCCTTTGAACACAATGTTTTTGTTAGATTCTATATATATACAGTATACTGTATGTATATTATTTTGTGTGTGTGTGTGTATGTATGTACAGTATGTATGTATATATATATATATATATATATATATATATATATATATATATATATATATATATATGCATATATTATTTTTATTTTTAACGCTATTGTATAGGACAGTGTACAGTACTCCTGTTAGCACACAGCTTTTATACTGTATGTCGTGAACAGGTACACTATCCAGTCTGCCATGGCTCAGAGCATTCTAGTGAATGAAAAGCTTCTTCTGACTGCTGCCCAAAAATGGTGCCCAGAGCTGCACTTAAATTCTCACCTTTTAAGGACGTTTCACAAAGATGCCAGCCAAAGTTTCTATACATTCAACAAGCAAAGATTTTACTCATGGAATCTCATTACTCTTAATCATACAAAGGTAAATGACACCATTTCAAGGACTGGAGGTTATAGCACTAATATCCTTTTACTATTGCACGGAGCTCAGAATAGCCCTGGCTTGGCCCCATTTGTATTGAAAGGCATCTAGAGTGGGTGCTAATTAAGGCCAATAATTTCTTTAAGTGGTGGGAGCGATCCATGCAGTCTGCCAGCAGGTCAGTCTGAGGTAGAGGAAGGCTCAGGGCCTGATTTTTATTCAAGTTGTGATCATTTTAACAAGGAAGAGCTTTAATTGGTCCCATTGCTTTCCTCTGAATGCCTGCAGTTTTTTTTAGAGACCCCCTCTTTTTTTCTTGTTGAAAAGATAAAATTTCATATATGAATGGTTGTTTGTAATAGAGGACTATTAGACCATTAGTTAATGCATTTACTAACAATGAGCAATACATTTAAAATAATATAAATATAAATAGTAAATATAACTTTACATTGTTAGCTAAAGTCTATTAAACTTTTTATTTTATTTAATAATTTATTAGTTAATGTTGAAATTAACATTAACTAAGATTAGTAAATGCTTTAGAAGTATTGTTTATTGTTAGAAGTTATTGTTTAGTTAATGTTAAACAATGTAGTTAACTCATCTTAACAAATGAAACCTTACTGTGAAGTGTTTTTCAACATTGCAGATTTGGGTTGGAAACAAACAAACAAACAAATACAATACAATACCATTTTTTTTATTTAACCACCTTCCAGTGTTTCTGCAAAGCTGCTACTTCCAAGTTAGACATTTGTTATTACGACATCACACATTATAGAATTTGAATGGAATATTTTTATATATAGATAGACTGTATAGCATGTATCCACCTGTAATACTGTTTGTATCTGATTGGCAGCTGTGTCTTGCGGAGTGCCAGACTCTCCTGCTAATGGCTCATTCCACGGCTTCCAATACACAGTGGGCAGTAAGGTGCAGTACCAATGCGAGGAGGGCTATAAGCCTGATGCAAGCAGCCTGCTCACTGCCGTCTGCCTGGAGGATGGCACCTGGAGCAACGTGGCACATCCTACCCACTGTTTACGTGAGCAAGTCAAGCCCTCTGTTTCTATGCCAACAGCATGTTAAAATCTACCGCCTCATTGAACCGCCGCAGTCAGCCGCTTTCTCGCTCGGTTCCCCCTCTGAGAGTAATGTAGGGCAGGTAATTGGCAAAATTAACAATAATGACTTGATTTTTTGTGGTTTGGCAACTCAAACAAGACAAATGGTCTGATATGACATGTCCCCCCTCTGACATGAATTACCATTAGCCTACAAAGCCGACTAAAGAGCCCACAGCCAAATAACCAAGTATTATGCATTCAGAGGGCACAGTGAGAAAGACGCTCATTACAGCCGTTACTGCTACAGATAATGTCATTTAATATTATGATATTCCTCATCATCGTTGGGAAGGAGAAAGGATGAGGCTTCTGCCCTGCTCTGTAACACCATGTCAAGGTGGTCTTTCGTTCTAGAGCTTTCAGTTGATAGCATGACACATCCACAGTTTCTGAGACTAGCTGTATTGTAAAGCACTCGAGCTGTTTGCAATTATCTAAACAAGTGCGAGCTGAGGGACATGAAACCTTTGTCATGTAGAACATGGAGAGAGAACATTATGTGAGAGATAAAGGCAGGGGGATGGAAAGATGTTTTGCTCTACTTAAGATCTTGTGTAGTATACCTGACCTAGCTTACAAGACTTTTTGCAAGTTTGATGCGCCCGCACCAAATTATGCTTCTTTTGAATCCGAGCTATGCACTATGCTGTTCAATCAAAGGATCATCTGTTCCATGCTGGCTGCAATATTGTTACTCTGAAGTTTCCATTTCAGTTTTCAACCACCTTTATATAAACACACAAGACAAATCAACCACATTTTCCAATCGTAAATGTGCTAACAAAATGGAACGAAAGCCAAGCCATTCATAGGTTGATTTACAAGAAGTGAAAACTCTTTCAAACAGTGCTCTCTTTGTTTGAAGTCAGTCCAAGATTGTCAACCATTAGTGTGAGTTTGAGGCAGGTCAACCTGTTTTTAAGAACAACGACGATGTGTTATTTGACTGAAAATTCACAAACCACCTCAAATGACACAGTTCAAATTTTGCACACAGCTTACAGAATGCTTTCTAAATAGCATATTCTGGGCGCTTGTTGGCTACTTTTCGAATCATTCATTTTAAATAAGATAACTGACATTTTAATGTAATTTTAAGCATGTAAAGAAGCCATGAAAAACATATATTCAGTCAAGTGTGTCCTAACTTTTCACTGGTATTATATATCTATCCCATAATTCCTGTAAGCTCTAGTTATTCCAGTTCTAGGACCCACAAGGTCATTGTTTTCCATTAATACATTCTTTGCCTTCTGTCCTGCAGCGGTTCAATGCCCTAACATTGAGAGCTTGCTCTCAGAACACATGGTGTGGCGTCTCATCTCAGGCTTGCTGAATGAGTTCGGTGCACGAATAATGCTAAGCTGTTCCCCTGGCTACTATCTGGCAGGCAGGAGGACCATCAAATGCTTAGCTAATGCAACGTGGGAAGGGCTGGAGGAGAAGTCTACCTGCAAGAGTAAGAATGCTTTTACAGAAACACAGTGACACGCACAAGCATTTTGTTTGGTCCATTTTGGAGCTTGGATGTTTAAATCATCAACCACTTTCAGTGTATGTCTATCATCTTTTGTGTTCACAGAAGAAATAAAATCACACGAAAGTGCATAATTGATGATAGCATTTGCATTTTGGGCTGAACTATTCCTTTAAGAAAAAGCACAATTGAATTCCAAATTCTGCTCTTGGGATTTCACGAAAAGATCACTGTGTTAATTACCAAACAGCGTCCATTGTGAGCTAATGAAACAAATTCATTAGGGTAGCTAATATGTCTGAAATCTGGCCTCTCTATACCATGTCTAGTTTATTTCTCTACTGATCCAAGCGTAATCCTCTGGATTTAGCATGCGCGCATAAGACGCCATCCACTACTTAGTCAGTTCTGATCGTGGCCCGGGTTTCCACCACCGGGACAGGCTGTGTAAACAGTATCACGGTGATTAAGTCTTCGGTGAAAAATGCTTCAACTAATTTGAGGTCAGAGAGCAAATGTAAATATTCTAATCAGAGGCAGCTTAATTTTTTATGTGTTTACGCACCATGATGAGTAAGTTGTTAATGAAAGGAACAGATGCAAACAGCTGGGGCTTCAATTGTAAATTGAATTCTTAAAATGTCATAAAATAAATGCGTGTTGATTGTATGATTACTGCATACAACTAACAAAGCTTTAGTGCTGTTTGCTAAGGTAAGCATTGCTATTATTATTGCTCATACTCAGGGTTATGGATCTGAACAAATTCCTTACTCCAAGTATGAAATTTGTTGTGTATTTAATCCTGTATTGTTCACACTACACATGAGATATATCTTGATACCAGAATATCATGGAGACTTTGAGGTGACCTCTTTTGATGAGAAACCACACATAACAACTTAGCGTTTAAATGAGCTAAAAATAAAACACCTTGGCAATCGCATATAGACACGCTGACACTCAAAACTCCATAGCACCATGGCAAACGTTCCTCTTCAGGAACTCGAGCTGCGTCGGAGAATGCTTTGGGAATCCCCTTCAGCATGACCGGCTCTGAATCACGTGTGTAATCAGTCCAATGGATGGGCGAGACGTCACGGGCGGGGGGACGTAGCGACCAGGAAGCTTAAAAGCACGTGTGGTGAAACCGGCGTCAGCTTTCTGTCATTCAGCAAGCGCTCTGTGTGTGTGTCAGTCTGATATCTGTTTGTGAGTCTTATTTAGTGTTGTTTGTCATGAAATCATGTCAAAAGCACAAGACAAAAAAACCAAACACCTCAAGGGTGAGGGCAGGCAGCGTTTCAGGCTGTTACATTACGGGTGGGGATACACACAGTTTGTTTGTTGTCTGCTTGGGAGCAAAGCACGCAGAGTCGAGGGAGCTGACTGCCCGCATTGCAAGCGTTTGTTACTGCCTTGCTTCGATCTCAGAAGGCTCTCTTTGAGGAGAGATATTAGGCAATATTATGCCTAATATTATAATGAGCAGCATTAATGGGGAGCGGAGCTCACACAGTCGGCTCTCGGGGGGCTGATTGTGCTTTTCCCGCTGTTAAGCGCTCCGCTCTTGCCGGGCACGCTCTGAGGAGTGTGTCCGTGCCTGTGATCTTGCGATTGTGGTCCCGCTACTGCTGAGGCACGGCGGCGACTGAGATCGCGGGGATCGCACATGATCTGGCGGACGGGTTGGAGACTGCTCTTCCTATCTCCACCCGGGTTCCCTAGATCTAGAGCTCGTTCTCGTGGCCTGGAAGCCCGCACTGCGGCTTTTTCCCCCTCTGAGTGAGAGCTCGCGGCTGCAGCCATCTTTCTCTGAGGGGATTGATATTGTTTGTGTGACTGAGCGGCTAACGCGCTACCGAGGCAATGCGTATATTACATAATTTTGGTTTTTGATGTGAATCTTACCACACCAGACCGTATTTACTCGTCTGGTTGTTTGACTGCATTTAATTCTGAGGAATAAAATTAAGTATTTATCTGACTATTGAGAATTTAGATATACAGGGGCTCTTGGGATAAAAAGTTCTTGAGTGAGTGCACGCATTAACCTCTCTTCCTCTGAGGAGGTTGAGGCAGTCAGCAGCGGCTGCTGGGCGGGATCAGTCCCAACCTATCGTGTTCCAGAGTCAGAGTGGTCCTCCCAGGCCGAAGGCTTCTAGCGGAAGGTGGTTCTGCGGACCGTCATTCTCGCTGGATAGTCTTAGTCTTAAACGTCCTAACGCCTAAGGCCTAGGGCTTTTTGAGGGCCAGCTCCCTCTGGGGAAGAGTGGTGTACACCGCATTACACGGTGCCCGTCTCTCCTCAGAGCCCTCAGGAGATCGCTCTGCCAACCCTGCCGGTGTTCCAGGGTGCAGCAGTCTCCAGCGAGCACTTCTCTCAGTTACTGCCCAGAAACGTAGCGGTACTAAGTGGCTCGCTACGTCTACAGAGGTCTCTAGAGCAGCTAGTACGGCTGTCCCCTGCCGGTCCGCCGCTTCAGGGCACCGAGCTAGCTGCTCTAGGTGCACCAGAGGCCAGTCTCGTGAGACTGGTTCCCTTAGGATGTCACCTGGCGGTGTGGGAGCCCCTGCCAAGCATGCTTCATTGGGTCCTGCCCTGAGCAGGTTCTGGTCTAGTCTTCCTAGCAGACGACATGGGTCTGAGGGCTGTCGTTTTCAATAGGAGACTTCAGTTATGAGAGTCCTGATGCTGTGGCTCAGGACTTCGGAGGGCAGGCCCCTCTGGGGAAGAGCGGTGTACACACCGCATTACACGGTGCCCGTCTCTCCTCAGTGCCCTCAGGAGATCAGTCTGCCAACCCTGCTCCAGGACACAGGTGTCTCCGGCGAGCGCTTCTCTCAGTTACCGCCTGGAAATGTAGCAGTGCTAAGAGGCTCGCGACCTCCACGGAGGTCTCTAGAGAAGCTAGTACAGCCGTACCCTGCCGGTCTGCCACTTCAGGGCACCGAGCTAACCGCTCTGGTTACACCAGAGGTCAGTCTCGAGAGACTGATTCCCTTAAGTAGACTATTTGGCAGCGTGGAAACTACTGCCAAATGTGTCTCATTGGGTCCTGCACACTGTAGAGAGAGGCTACAGAATCCAGTTGGTTCTCCTCCTCCTCAATTCAACGGGGTTATTCCCACTCCTAGTGAAAGAGAATCCTAGTTCTACAGCCGGTACTTCATTGTTCCGAAGAAGGATGGAGGGTTGCGTCCCATTTCAGAGCGGTTCTGAATCAGTTGATCCGCAACAAATCAGTTGAACCGCTCAGTCATGCGACTGAAGTTCAGGATGTTCACACTCTAACAAATCGTGTCTCAGATCAGGTCCAAGAACTGATTTGTCACGATCAATCTAAACGATGCATACTTCCATATTTCCATCCTTCCTCATCACAGGAAGTTCCTGAGGTTCGCTTTGGGGGAAAAGAGTACCAATATCGGGTTCTTCCTTTCGGCCTTGCACTCTCACCCCACACTTTCACCAAGTGTGTGGATGCAGCTCTGGCTCCTTTGGGACTCCAGGGCATCCGCATACTCAACTACATCGACGATTTGTTGATTTTAGCTCATTCAGAGCAGACAGCTGTTTGGCATCGAGATGTCGTTCTCGCTCACATGAAAGAGTTGGGGTTAAGACTAAACCCCAAGAAAAGTCGAGAGACGGCAGTCGAGAGAGTGAGAGAAAGCCAGTCACTCACTGTCAAGCAGTTTCAGAAACTGCTGGGTTTGATGGCAGCTGCGTCCAACCTGATACCTCTTGGCCTGCTGTACAGGAGACCCCCTACAGTGGTGGCTCAAGACCTCTCCCCGAGGAGAAACCCGCTTTGCATGCTCAAGGTCACGCGGAGGTGCCTACGTGCCTTAGACATGTGGAGGAAACCTTGGTTCTTGACTCAGGGCTTGGTACTGGGAGCTCCTTGTTGCCGCGTAATGCTAGTGACGGACGTGCCCCTCACTGGTTAAGGAGCGGTCATGAGTGGTCTGTGGAGCGGCCGCCATCTCACGTGGCAACTGCCTTGAGATCCTGGCCATGTTTCTAGCAAAGTTGAAACACGTTCTCCCAGACCTAAAAGGTCACCATCTGTTGGTGCACACCGGCGACACAGTGGTGGTCTCTTATATCAACCACCAGGGAGGTCTGCGTTTGCGCCCCCTTTACAGGCAGGTGCACCAGATCCTTGTGAGGTCCCTGGGTGAACTCCTCTCGCTGAGAGCAGTTCACATTCCTGGACTTCTCATTATGGGAGCAGACATTCTGTCGAGGCAGGGGCCGAGGCCCAGGGTATGGAGAGTTTTGGCCAGGCTCAGGTGGACCTGATCGCGACTCGAGAGACATCGCACTGTCCCCTCTGGTTCTCTCTGACCATGGTACAAACGTGGCTGAGGCTTCATTTGTACACCTTTCTCCCGATCGCTCTGCTCCTGGGAGTTCTGGAGAGAGTGTGGTTTTCAGACCTGATTTCTCTCCTCGACGGATCTCCATGGGAGATTCCCGTCAGGAGAGATCTCCTCTCTCAGGCGGAGGGTATGATCGTCCACCCCGCCCGGAGCTGTGGAAGTTGTGGGTGTGGCCCCTGAAGGGGCACAGCTCATAGCTTCTGGTCTCTCAACCGAGGTTGTTGGCCAGTCAGTGGGCAGACACCCCCAAGTTACACGTTTCCTCCGCGGTGCACTGAGGCTGAGGCCTCCAGTACAATCTTGTGTCCCTCCGTGGGACCTGGCTGTGGTGCTAGAAGCTCTCTGTAGCCCTCCCTTCGAGCCTATAGAGGAGATCTCGGATCGCCACCTCAAGATATCAAGACTACTTTTCTTCTGGCAATATCTCCTCTCAAGAGAATTGGGGATCTGCAGGCCCTCTCAGTGGCCCCTTCCTATCTCGACTTTGTGCCCGATCTGGCCAAAGTATTTCTGTACCCTGTATTTCTGTATGTATGTTCCTAAGGTCCCCTTCTCTACACCATGGCCTGTCATACTCCAGGCCTTCAGTCCTCCTCCCTTCAGGGAGCCAGACCAGCAGAAGCTTAATTGTATGTGTCCAGTGTGAGCAACTGCTTGTTTGCTATGGTCCCCCTAAGAGAGGTCTTCAAGCTACAAAATAGTAGATGGATAGTAGATGCCATCTCTATCGCTTATGAGTCCTCTGATCTCCCTTCGCCTCTAGGGATCAAGGCTCACTCGTCGAGAAGTGTGGCAGCCTCCATATGGGATTACATCTCTGCCACAATTCTGCGCGCGAAAAATCATATTTTGAGTGCGCAAAAGTGCGTTTTGCACAGGCACGAACTGTGTTTTGTGGAGAAAATGTTTGTCTCGCAAAGAAGAAAGTATTTTGAGCGCACAAAAATCAATTTTGCATTTAAATAAGTTTTTGGATTTGTGCAGACCTTCTCTTTTGCGTGTGCAATGTTTCACTAGCTTGCTCACCTGATGCCCACGCTCAGTGCTCTCTAAATGCCAACGGCTCCCTTGCTCAACACAACCCAGCATTACAATATGCCATACTCCAGCCAATCAGAGACGAGGCTGCTAAATTCTGATTGGCTGCCTTGACAACCAATCACAACATTCATTGCATTACCTCAACAGCAGAAGAGGAAAAATACATAATTATTATGCAAGTTGATATTCTGATCATATTTTTTTCCAAGCACATTTGATCAATTCCAAAATACATCAATCTTAATAACTACTATTAATCTTGTACTTAATCATTAATAATTTATATATAATTATTCATGAAGGCTGGAAGTGAAAAATGTCTTATAATGAGGTGCGCATAATTATTAAGCAGATTTTATTTTACAGATAAAATGAGCCACAAAAAGAGATTTAACTCAGACCAAAAGTCAAAAATTATTAAATGCCCATGAGAAATATCCAAAACTAATACAATACTAGAAATTGCAAAGTTAATGCATAACCAATGGACAGCAAAATGCTCAGTGGGTCAGCAGGGTCAGTTAAAAACATGTGGAGAAGAAAAGATGCATGTTAACTGCAAAAGAATTAGGAATTAAGGTGAAGAATTAGGTGTGAAATCACCAGGAACCATTTAGTCTCCAGCGCCACCAATTTCCAGAACTGCAACCTACCTGGAGTCTCCAGAAGTACAAGGTGTCAGGTTCTCAGAGACTTAGGTTAAGTATTGAATCCTAAAAAATTACCCCTACTTAATAAGAATCACATACTGAAGTGTAGTAAGACTGATTTTTTAAATATATATATATATATAGGATTTATAGACAGATAATTTGAGTGACTCTTGAAGGACCAGCACCACATCCTCTTGTACCACTGTTTGAAGAATTTATCTTCCAGAATCTGGCAGTAAGTTTTGGGTGTTCAATTTTAGTCCATTTTGAGATTTTATCTGTAGAAGATAACCTGCTTAATAATTATGCACACCTGAATATAAGGCGTTTTTCACTTCCAGCCTTCATGAACGATAATATATAGGTTATAAGTGATTAAATACAAGTTTAATAGTAGTTATTAAGATTGATGTTGTTTGGAATTGGTAAAATGTGCTTGGAAAAAAATATAATCAGAATATCCACTTGCATAATAATTATGCATGCACTGCATTTTCCCTCTTCCGCTGTCATCAGCAATGCAAGGAATGTTGTGATTGGTTGTCAAGGCAGCCAATCAGAATTTAGCAGCCTAGTCTCTGATTGGCTGGAATTATGGCATATTGTAACGCTGGGTTGTGTTGAGCATGCCAGCCGTTGGCATTTAGAGAGCACTGAGGGCGGGCATTAAGGGAGCAAGCTAGTGAAAAACTTATTCACACATCCAAAAACTTATTTTAAATGCAAAATTTATTTTAGTGCGCTCAAAAAACTTTTTTCTTTGCAAAATGAACATTTTCTCCAAAAAACTCAGATCACATGCCTGCAAAACGCACTTTTGTGCGCTCAAAATATGATCTTTTGCGTGCAGAATTGTGGCAGAGATTTAACCCTATACCTCCAAGGCCTTCTTGGCAGGTGTCTCTATGCAGGACATCTGCAATGCTGAGGGATGGTCCACGCCCTTAACCTGTCAGGTTCTATGGCCTAGGTATGCATGCCACTCCGGGCTCTTCTGTTTTCTCGCCCTAGCTGTGCAGGCTTCCACTCTAGGCAAAGTCTGGAGGCGTGGGCATACTCGTTCCCAAAGCGTTCTCCGACACAGCTCGAGTTCCTGAAGAGGAATGTCTCAGGTTACGCATGTAACCATGGTTCCTCGAGGGAACGAGACGCTGCATCACAGGGCCATACTTAAGGTATCTCTGCCAGCGCTTGCTTCACTCCTATAAGCTGACGCCGGTTTCACCGCACGTGCTTTTAAGCTTCCTGGTCACTACGTCACCCCGCCCGTGACGTCTCACCCATCCATTGGACTGATTACACATGTGATTCAGAGCCGGTCATGCTGAAGGGCGTTCCCAAAGCGTGCTCCAACGCAGCGTCTCGTTCCCTCGAGGAACCATGGTTACATGCATAACCTGAGATGTTTTACATGGCCAGTCACCTCTTACATTTCCTTCAGAAAATGTAAGAATCTAGTGGTAACACTTTATTTTAAAGACCAATTCTCACTATTAACTAGAATGCATATTACTAATATATTGGCTGTTTACTACTTCTAAAGCACATATTCATGCCTTATTCTGCATGACCATGTTGTAGATCCCTTAATCCTACCCCATACCTAAACTTAACAACTAACTATTAATAAGCAGCAATTTTCGTAGTTAATAGTAAGTTAATGGTGAGAATTGGACCTTAAATTAAAGTGTGACCTGATTATCTTTATAAAACTAGAATAGCATGTATGTATGCATTTAAAGTGTGATAAGTGTGATGATTTCCATTTGTGTTATTTTGTGTTGTTATACTTCATTATTGTTCTAAAATGAGGCGGTACCTTTTCAAAAGGTACATGTTTGTTACCTTAACGGTACATATTAGTACTTAAAGTGTACATATTAGAACCTAATAGGAACAACAGTGTACCTTTTGAAAAGGTACCGCCCCAGTGACAGCTTTTGTACCTTTATTTCTGAGAGTGAAGAGTAAATAACAACAAACTTTTAACTAGTGTACTTCTATGACCCTTGACATGTCCACCAATATATAAACGCATCTGTGTTGCTTTTAACCATGCCCCCTTCACCCCTCCATTTGCTGGTAGCTACTGTGAATAAGAATGGCATATTGTATTCATCATCATCAATGTGACCATTTCAGCTAAAAGTGCCATGTGAATTCAAGATATTGCAATGGCTATTTCCTCCAGTTATTTCCTGTGGGGAGCTTCCGTCCCCTCCTAATGGCAGGAAGATGGGCACTCTGACTACCTATGGCGCCACAGCTATCTTCATGTGCAACACAGGGTACACTTTAGTGGGCTCGCACGTGAGGGAGTGTCAGGCTAACGGTCTCTGGAGTGGAGATGAGACCAAATGTCTGGGTAAGTAGCATCTTTCAGCAGGGCTTCTGTGATTGGATGTTATTATTACTGAGCCATTCATGTGTAGAGCAAAGCAAATCTGTTTACTGGATGTATTCCTTCTCTATTATATTATGCTTGTATAGTTCTAATTATTGCACAGCACTAAGAACAATGTGATTTCCCTAAGTAGGACATGTTCCTGGAAAAACATCCTTTGTTAGTCCCAGAACAACGTTCCTATCAGACATCCACAGCCATAACCCTAAATTCACATAGTCCTGTTTTGCCAATGTTAATTTATGACGTCTGTAGTGCTAAATAATCCTGGAAATAGGGGAAATACTTGAGCAAGCATGTGAGAGCAGCTCAACTGAGGTATGCCACTGTCTGACGATCAGCGCTGAGCCTAGGACACATCACCTGCTGCTTGACCAAACAGCACAGAGGACATTTCATCAAAATGTCAGGCAGTGACTCCCGGAGTGCTCTCTGGACATAGCGCTGATGTGTCCGTACTTCATGCTCTGTAAAACACGTAGTTTGAATTTGTGTGTTTAGTAACAGGATTCCATTTTAATGAGATGTTTGTTGATTCTGACCACTTGAAATCTTTTTTCAGCTGGTCATTGTGATTCTCCGGATCCGATTGTTAATGGCCACATCAGTGGTGATGGATCTAGTTATAGGGACACAGTCGTTTATCAGTGCAACCTGGGCTTTCGGCTTATAGGGACATCGGTTCGTATCTGCCAACAAGACCACAGGTGGTCAGGCCAACCACCTGTGTGTGTTCGTAAGTGTCTTTTATTTATATATTCGAGCAGCTGAGTCTTTAGCCATTTTAAAAAAAAAACATCTAAAGACACATCTTTTTCTGATCAATTAATACTAGCACTTACCTATTCTATTCTATTCTAGTCTATTCTATTCACTCTAATTTATTTAAAATAAAATGAAAACCTTGCCATGTGTACTGTGCTAGATTAACTGAGGCTTCAGCACTTGTATACTGTTGCTCGCTTATTGGTCTGATTGCTTCTATTGTAGATAGATAGATGATACATTTCTGTTGACAATACAAATAATTTCAATGCAGTTTTACAGAAAATCATGATGTTAATGTTTAAAATATTTATATCTTAATATCTGGGAGATTATATAATGTACTTTTGCGATGATACAAGCAACCAATCAGTTGAATAGTAAAAAGGTTAGTAAAAAATCAGCTAAGTTTTATATATTGGTTTACGTGAGTGTACTGGATGTATCTAAATAAGACTGGATATAGTACAGTATATATCCAACTTTACATAGAGAGTGGTGCGATAATACAGTTGACGTTTTTGCGACAATATCAGCAATCAGACTATATCACAACAACAGTCATGCTATATATTGCTTTACGTGAGCAATAATCGATGGGCAATAAAACATTTTACATTTACTTTACCTTTTACTTTAATTGACAACCTTGATTTAACAAAAAAATTGTAACTTTAACACATGCATAAGCCCTGTCAGCAGCTTCAAAAAAAGAAGTGATTGACCATTCTCCCTTTCTTAACAGCCATAACCTGCGGCCATCCTGGAAACCCTGCAAACGGTCGGACAAACGGCAGTGAGTTTAATCTCAACGACGTGGTCAACTTCACCTGCAACACAGGCTATTTGTTGCACGGTGCATCCAGAGCGCAGTGTCGCATGAACGGACAGTGGAGCAACCCTCTTCCTGTGTGCAAGGGTATGAACCTTTCAAAAAAACATAATTTTACTGTATATCAAATGCTTTCAGGCAACCTGTCTCTCAGTGGAGACGCAGCCTTGTTATGCGAGCAGCTCCTTAGTGAGGCTGTTTAACACCCACAGCTCATGGGCTTAGCATTAACAGAGCGAAACCAGCATCTGTGCTCAGCAGTCTGAGTCAGCCAGTGAATGACAAGAAGCAATGTGCAAATAATTCTCGGTATGTCATTCACCATCTTGAAGTGTTGATTTGAAAGTCAAATGGGTCTGCAGCAACCCATGTGACATTGTGGGATGCTTTCTGATATTAAGTAGGAGTAACTGTGCACATCTTGTCATTTTAATGATTAATTAATGTGCAAAGGAAGTTGTTGATGGTGGCCAATCGTGAATCGTGACGGTAAAATGGAGGCAGGTCAATGCATCTGAGATGGACAATTCCCCACAGGCTTAGCCAGAGCCCAGGGTCGAAGCTCTCAGCAGGGAAAAGGCTGAAGTTCCTCTGAGTGGATGCATTGTTCCATAAAACAAATCCAAAGTTGAGTTGATGTGAGCTTTGTGTTTTTGCCAGTATTTAGAAACTAACTAGACCTTTTTATTTATTTATTTATTTATTTATATTATTATTAGTATTATTTTTTACTATTACTATACCATTTTAATAGCTTTGACTAAACCATGCATATATTGCACTAGTAGAAAAATGACATTTGTTATTGGTATAATTGTAAGCTTATTATTATTATTATTATTATTATTATTTGCAAACTAGCCACATCCAATTGTAAAAAAGGTAGGCTTGCACAAATCCACAAAAGATGTGTAGAATTGTCATATACAAATGAAAAGGTATAATTCGAATATACAGTTGTTTAAGAGGTAAAACTGTCATATACAATTACGAAAAAGGTAGAACTGTTAATACACACAACTTTAGTTGTCATACAGAAATGCAAAAAAAAAAGAATGTACATAATGATAAATGTAGAATTGTTATATATAATTTAAAAGGTAGAAGTGACATTACTCAAATAAATAACAAGTAGAATTCTCATATTTGTAAAAAAAAAGAAAGTCACAAAAAAAGAAAGAATTCACACAAGTAATTGTTATTGTTTTTCAGCTGTCAACCATATGACAATTATGCTGCCTTATTCTTATTCTGAGCTGTGTCCCTCTGATAAGATATTTATTTTAAAGAAACACTCAGATCAAACCATGATGTCTCACAAAGAAAAACAACACACCAATAACAGGTGCCAATTATCAACTTTTTAGCTGCTTGTCCACCCACTTTTCCTTTCCCAGGGGGCTTAATTGAGTGCCGAGACATTGACAGCTGCCACCGAGGGAAGGCAGTCTGGTTTGTTTCCTCTGGACATGGCCTCAACTTCTATCTTTTTTTTTTTTTTCTGTTAAATTGCGAAGGGCAGTAACTGAATTTGTAACTGCATGGCCGACACAGCATGCCAAGGACAGCATGTACCCGGTTTGAGTACAGAAAAATGTAATATGACCACATCTGTCAAAATTGTTCAAGACAGTGTAGAAAGAATCAGCTACATGAACAGATATGTCAACTTTAGATCAGAATGCGTGCATGACATGTTCTAGGTATGCACAGGAAAACAAAAGACGCTTCACTGTTGTGGAAGTGCACAGATAAAAGGCAAAGAAAGTTCTGAAGGAGCACATTTCACCCGCTTATAATTCGTGTCATCAAAAAGAAAGTACGGTTTACGGTTTGGAGTTGATTGAAATTGCTTCAGAGGCTGCACCAGCGATCCTACTGTTCAGCCTCCTCCATTGATTTCTTCTGTCTTTCCTCACTCTGTCAGACATTAAGCATCAGGCTGTTTTTATCTTGCAGTGGTAAACTGCTCTGATCCAGGCTTTGTGGAGAACAACATTCGTCACTCTCAACAGCACTACCCCGAAAGCTTCAACTACAGAAACACCGTGATGTATCACTGCAAGAGGGGCTTCTATCTGCTCGGCTCCTCCGTCCTCACCTGCCAGTCAAATGGCTTCTGGGACAGATCACTTCCTAAGTGCCTTCGTGAGTGATAGCCTCATGTTTCATCCAATGCACACTCGTCCAGAGATTCATACAGTGCCAAAAACGGCTTTGCTGTTGTATACATGTGATGGAATGCTTAAAAAAAACATTTTCAAAATTAGAATTATGGTTCTTGACTCCGGTAATATCAGACATTCTTAAAACAAGCTCAATTCATTGGAGAAGAAGGATTATATAAGATGTTGAGACCTTTTTTATACTTTTGCTAATTGAATAAGAAATATAAGCTTAGTTCATACTTACATTACAGAAGTTATTTAGATATTTTTACAAAAAGGACAAACTTCTGAGTGATTACTTTTTCAGTTTACCTAGATTTTTTTCTTTATTTTAGCTTTAATATTATTAGCACTTGTGCACTAAAGGGAATACATTTAGAGATGTAACTTTTCAGAGGGCTTTAGCATTCTGACAGTGTGCTTTACCTTGCTAAAAGTAACTATAGCTGTTGAACTGTCAGCGCAATAAAAGTAATCTCTTAAAAGTTGCATTTCTAAATTCATCCCCTTAAAAGCTCCACTACTACAGCCATAAAGGACCACATTTGTAACAGACAAGGCTTTTGTAAACAAGACAATTACTGCGCTGTCAAAATGTTTTTGAAATAGTTGGTCAATGTACAAATGCAGACCGACATCTTTTGCTATTGTCTCGCATCTCTGTTTATTTTTTATTTTTTTTCAGCATTTCATGCTGTGAGCATTGTATGTTTAAGTGTATTTATAACTTGACACATTGCATTTGAAATGTGTCAAGTTAAAAATAGTTCAACATCTTGTTTTTGTTTTTTTTCTAGTTTGTTGTTCTCCATCTAGCTGTTTGAATGCAAGCATACAGCCTATGTGATTGCCTCTTAGGAAAACGTCTGATTGGTGTATACTGTGTAGATAGGTTATCAGCATGCTATACCAAAAAGACTTTGACTGACAAACAGGGTAACCAGGCCGTCATAATCGATTGTGGAAATATGAAGTTTTGAAGTATCTTATCTGAGATGGTCCGTTCTCTTTCTAATGCCCCCCATAGCAATATCCTGCGGTGATCCCGGCACACCGCCGTTTGCTGTCATGTCGGGCCAGAAGTTCACCAACAGAGCTGTGGTCCATTACTCTTGCAGCCAGGCCCGGACTTTGGTGGGGAACGCCACGCGCCAGTGTCTGGATGATGGCCGGTGGAGCAGCTTGCCGCCCTACTGCTCAGGTACACACATCAGCAGGTGGCAGAACCTCAGGGCGGGAGACTGCAGACCAGCTGGCTAGCTGAACTTTAAGCCTCTGTCTGAGCAGCTCAGCTTACTTCAGACTTAAGTGTCTGTCTGAGCTTAGACAGATCTTAAAGTTTAAACAGTAACTGCTGTTGACATCAGCGCTGACAAAGTTCTTGTTTCCACAAAGTCCAGATGATGTGCACATCACGCAGCTCTCTGACTTTATATGTTTATGTGATAAGTTTATGAAATAATAACGTAAACCAGACTGCCCCGGACTAGAGCCTAGCAGTTTGGTAAGAAGTACACACATTCATTTTGTTCATAGATAAACTAATTTAAGAGAGATCTACCATGAGCTCTAAGATTGGGTTGCTGCTACAGAAGCATATATTAACACCTAGTTTCCAAATTCCTGGTGAAGAAGGAATCCACCAATCAAAGAAGTCAACAGGAAAACAGGAACTGAACCAAAAAAGCCCAGCAGTGACACCCACACCTATAAATCATTGAAAATTATGTATTCACGTTAGTGTCCTATAGGTTTTACGGGGCTGACGAGACGTGAGACGTGTGGATCCATCTGCAGGTTTTATTAAAGAGACGTGGTAAACAGGCAGGGTCAAACAATGGCAAACAGGTATATGGCGGGCAAAACACAAGAATAGTCCTAGGGCTAGCGTAGGTGACCGATCGGCAGACAGAATCACAGGGGCGAGACGAGAGGGAAAAATCCAGGAAAACAGGCAACAATCAGAAACCGCGAAAACAGGCAAGGCAAGGCAAAACAAGGAAAACACAGAGACTAGGAATGGGGTACGGGCTAAACAATACTCAGCAGAGAATGGCAGTTTGAGTGGGTGTTATATAGTGAGTGAGGTGATAAGAAACAGCTGTGTGCAATGAGTGCAATCAGTGCAGTGTGCAAACCGTGCAATGAATGATGGGATATGTAGTCCGGGGTGCTATGCAACAGTTTGTGTTGTGCGAGAGTCAATGTAAAGGAAAGGGGGACCTCTGGTGGTGAATAAACGGAAGTCCATGGACCGAATTCGTGACAATAGGGATGTAACGGTATGAAAATTTCTTATCACGATTATAGTGACCAAAATGATCACGGTTATCAGTATTATCACGGTATTGTTAAAATGTGCTGGAAATGTTCAAAAAGTACTGACACACAAATCATTTTACTAAGTTTTACATTTAAAATCAACAAGCAACAAATAAAATGAGTTTTTGTTTGCGTAACTAAAACAATAACATTGCCAGTGATGTCCGGATTTTAAATGACAACATGACTGACAACAGTTTATCCAATAGCATTTTCAAATATCTAATGTAAATGTTCAAATAAAGCTTTGAAAAAGTTTCATAAATGGTAAACCTCACATTTCAGCTTTTAAATAAAGAAAAGGGTCAAGTCAAAATGACAATTGATTAATAAATGTTTATATGTATGTATCTGCTCCGTAAATAATACTAGATACCTTATTGTTTAAATGTTTAGAATCCATATAAGCTTTTTTTCATCAACCAGTCAAAATTTACAGCAGGGCATGTTTCATAAAAAGGTAAACCTCGCATTTCAGCCTTTAAATCAAGAAAAGTCTAAATGATAATTGATTAATAAATGATTATATGTATTTTATCTGCTCCATAAATAATTCTAGATAGCTTATCTGAATTGTTAAATGTGCAGAATCCACATAAGCTTGTTTTTCATCAACCAGTCAAAATTTACAGCAGGGCATGCTAATTCGGTCCATTTTTTGATCTACACACCTTTCACTTTTTAAGACTAAAACAAAAAATGGATTCATTGTTATTCTTAATTAAAAATCATAACAACAATAAAACAGTAAGATACAATGACAAACTAGCTTATTAAATGTTTATTAACAAAAACGAATAAGACGAGGCATGGCATACACCGCATGCTGTATTATATACCGACTAATAAATTACAGAACGTTTAGCAAACACTGAGGAATCAAATAAATAAAAAGAGAGCTTCCATAGCATAACGTGAGGTAAACAGCAAAGATAACAAGCTTTTCAAAATGAAAACAAAAAGAAAAGTAAAACTAAACTTGCTGTCGGTGACGGTGCTTGCATGTTTTTGTCCCAAAAGAACACCAACATGTTCACCTTTGGTTTAAGAAGCGGTCTTTTACTTTACTTTAGCATGAAACCCATCCATCGTTTCCTCAATATTTGCGTCATTTTTGCTGCACGCAGCTTCGCGCTCCTGACGCCGCGAGTATAAACCAGGCTCTACACTCGAAGCGCTGCGCAGCTCAAACGAGTCGCGCGGTTTCATTATGCTTTCAGTTTTGTTTGCCGTTTGATGATTCTCACATGCAACAGAAATGCAGCGCTTATGAGTTAAACAATGTGGTGGTGGCGCCAGTGCGACCGCACACAACATTTAGTCGCACTGGCAGAAAAAATGATAGCAAAATGTGCCCATTTGGTCGCACACTGGAGCCCTGTGCAGTACAGTATTTATTTATCCTCAGTTGTTCAAATCGCGGTAATCGAATACGGTTATAGTGATAATTAAAATATGAAACGGTAATACTAACCGTGGGGTATTTCATCACGATTTATCGTCAAACCGGTAATCGTTAAAAGGGATTAGTGTCCAAAACCTTTTGATAACTTATATATTTGGGTAACACTTTCCAATAAGATCCCATTTGTTAACAAGTTAATTTATTAGCTAACATGAGCTAACAATGAGCAATACACACATATATACACATACATACATACATATACAGTATATATATATATATATATACACATACGTACATTATATATATGTGTATATATATATAACCCGTGCTGGCAAAAAAAAAAATTAAAAATTGAATTTGAGGTTTTCACGAAAAAGAGTTTATTAAGCCCTCTTCTAGTGATCCCAATGCTTCAAATAGTAATTAAACATCTAAAATTATCTTTATTTGTACGTTTTCTGAGAGGAGTACCCTTTTTTCCGCTCACTTCTGGACGACTGCTGCTGCTTCTCACCACAAGTTGTAGGATATATCGTTGAAAAGTGCAGCATTCGAGCCTTATAAATATCCATAGCGAATTCTGTATGACATGAGTCTGAACCAGTAAAATATGATTTTCAAACCTGATTAAAACAAAACGTTTGCCTCTCAGAGAGCGCGCGATCTCCCTATAAAGTACATTATTGCTAAATATGTCTTGGCGAGATTCACATAATCTGTTGTCTTACATGAACGTTTAGTTAATGGTTAGGGAAAAATCTGATGTGTAACATTATATTAGATCCATGCATTACAGTAGGTCAAAATATTGATCTGTCTCGATGTTAATCAAACATTAAAACCAAAGATGGAATCTTTCGCTGCTCTTGATTAAACAATATTTTATTTGCATCATTGTATCTTATTTTTAATAACAGAGATAAAATAAAAAACAGCTATATTGTGATTGATAATATAGTAATTATTATTAAGACAATAATTGGAGGAAAATATGCAACGTTGCTTGGTGATATTGCTTTGGAATCTTCAGAAAACATTAACTCGATTTTTCTCAAAATCAACTCTGCTGACTCAAGTTGTATATCATTTTGAAGGTATTTTAATGTAGGATGTGAAAAAGAAGAGAACTCATTTTTGAAAATGTGCTCATTCTGACTCATTTTGCCAGCACAGGTCACACACACACACACACACACACACACACACACACACACACATATATATATA